TTTTCTATATTCTGTTCTATTATTTTTATTTATTCTATTCTATTCTAGTCCCTGTTCTGTTCTATTCTGTTTTATTCTATTCTTCCCCCCATTCTATTCTATTCTATTCATTTTCTATATTCTATCCTATTATTTTCATTTATTCTATTCTATTCTAGTCCTATTCTCTTCATTTTCTATATTCTATTTTATTTTATTCATTTTCTATATTCTGTGCTATGATTTTCATTTATTCTGTTCTGCTCTGCTCGGCTCTGCTCTGCTCTGCCCTGCCCTATCTTATCCTGAACCTCGGGTTCTTCCTTAAACCTTTGCATGTGTCTTCTGCAGTTCGAAGTCCACCAGAAAACCTATTTCAAGAACATCCTCAACAGCATCCGGTTCACCATCAAGCTGTCGGTGAAGAAGATCCGTCAGGAAGTGGACAAGTCCGCGTAGGTGGTTCCCCTTGTTGTCGAACCTCGTGGGTGGAAACTGAGGGGCACTGAGGGGTCTCGTTTTCTCCTCCGGGGTGGCTTTGAGGCTCCCCTTAGAGATGGGATCTCTCTCCATGCTCCAGTCGGAGTTGGGAGTCCCCCAGGGGCATTTTCCAAAAGGCCACTGGACTCTTTCATGGTTTTCGTTTTTTCTTCTTCTTTGAAAACGTTTCGCTTTCTCATCCTTCTTCCATTCTGGGCTGAACTTTGGAGCAACCGTGAACCGGAAGGATGGAGAATTTCCATAGACATCCTGATCTGGGTGGTGTTTTTATTTACCCAACAAAGTAAAATTTTATTTTGGTGGGTTCCTTGGATCACTCCCACCTACACTGACAGAGCAAGCCGCTAGAAGGTAAAGTGAGAGCAAACCCCACTCCCCTAGTAGCACTGATGATGCTCCCTAGTTGGGCGAGGAAACGTCCTTAAGGGAAACAAGCAATGAGAGAGCACCCAGGCCCTCAAAGTCTTTCTCCTCCTCCTCCCCTTCTTCCTCCTTCCCCCCGCTCCTCCTCCATCCTGCAAACCCCACTCCCTTCTAGCACTGATGATGTTACCTAGTCAGGTAATGAAACGTCTGCAAGAAAACAACCATAGCTCAAAAAGCACGAAGTCGTCCTCCTCCTCCTCCTCCTCCTCCTCCTCCTCCTCCTCCTCCTCCTCCTCCTCCTCCTCCTCCTCCTCCTCCTCCTCCTCCTCCTCCTCTCCACAAACCCCACTCTTTTCTAGCCCAGATGATGTTCCCTAGCTGGGTCATGAAATGCCTACAATAAAAACATCACATTCAGGGACCCCAGAGTCATTCTCCTCCTCCTCCTCCTCCTCCTCCTCTTCCTCTCCACAAACCCCTCTCCCTTCTAGCACGGATGATGTTCCCTAGTTGGACGACAAAACGTCCTTAAGGAAAACAAAACATGAGAGAGCGCCAAGGCCCTCAAAGTCTTTCTCCTCCTCCTCCTCTTTCCTCGTGCAAACCCCACTCCCTTCTAGCACTGATGATGTTACCTAGTCGGGTAATGAAACATCTGCAAGGAAACAGCCAAGCTCAGAAAACACCAAGGACACCTTCATTTCAATCCCGAGCTAACGAATATTCTCCTCGGATCTTTCTCCGTCTCTTCATCCAACCTGGTGGGCCCTGAAACACATAGTGGCACAATGCGTGTAGAATACTCAACTTACAGCTGTAAGTGCCTGGCCGTTATGGTCATAAGCCGTGACTAGATCTGATTTTTTTTATATTTTTTTTGGGGGGGGGGGTGTCTGTCATTAAAGCGAATGCCATCGTTGTATCGGTAATCCTCTACTTATGACTGCAACACAGTCTTACAGTCGTAAATAAGGGCTGCTGAGTGCTCAAAATGGAGTCATTTGACCTCGGGAAACTGAGGCTGTCAGAATGTCAGAACTGAGTCATAGTTTTTGGGGAAGGACCGTCGTAATTTTGAACGGTGGCTAAATAGCCGGTCATATATCAAGATACTCCCTGTATCTCACGGAAAAACCTTCATGAAAGAGAGATTCACTGACCAGGGTGGAGCCCCTTCGGCCTTGACAGACTGGGTTGTCCTGGGATCACAAAGAGAATAGCACTTAGACTTATACGCTTCACAGTGCTTCACAATTCTCTCTAAGCGGTTTTACAGAGTCAGCCTCTTGCTCCCCCCAAAATCTGAGTCCTCATTTTACCCACCTCGGAAGAACGGAAGGCTGAGTCAACCTTGAGCCTGGTGAGATTCAAACGGCCAAATTGCCGTCAGCCGGCAGTCAGCAGAAGTCGCCTGCAGTACCACACTCGAACTGCTGCGCCACTAGCAATGGAAAGTCTCCAATAACGGAGAAAATTTGTAGCTCAGGGTTGACATGAAGGGGTCCTTGGTGCTCTCTGAGCTGGGTTGTTTTCTCGCAGACGTTTCATGACCCAACTAGGTCACATCATCAGGGCTAGAAAGGAGTGCTGTTTGCTATCCATTGATGTTCTGGAGATCTTGCCTGTCTTATGGATTTGGGGCGGTCTTAGAAGTCCTTTGGTTGGGCTGTTTATTGATGGCTCTCTTTGGCAGTTTCTTTATTGCTTCCTTGACTGTTGGTCTGAAGGTAACTTTGGACTTAATCTATGCTAACCTGATTGCTGATTGCTGATTGCTGGCGGAGAGCTGCCGCTGGAATCTTTTTATTGCCTTTTGGGCTGGTTGATTGCCTCTTGTGCATAATCTGTAGATGTTGTTCATGTCTTGTGTGTTGATGGCTGATTTGTCGGAGTGCCAGGCTTGTAGAAATCCCCTGGCATTCCCCAGACACTAACGACATCTACAGACTATGCAAAAGAGACAATCAACCAGCCCCAAAGAGGAGAAGGACTCCAGTGTCTTTCCACCAGCAACCGACACTCAGATCAGCACAGATGAAACACCAGGTTTAACTTCAGACCAATGATCAAGTCAATGATACCCCAATCAAGGAACTGCCAAAGAGCTATCAGCAAACAGCCCACCAAAAGAATCTCTAAGAAAATACACAAAGACACAGAGAGAGAGAGAGAGAGACACACACACAGAGAAAGACAGAGAGACAGAGACAGAGAGACAGAGACAGAAAGAGAGAGAGAGAGAGAGAGACAATGACACAGAGAGAGAGAGACAGAGAGAGAGAAACAGAGAGAGAGACAGAGGCAGAGAGAGAGAGAGAGAGGCAGAGACAGAGAGACAGAGAGAGAGAGACAGAGAGAGAGACAGAGAGAGAGACAGACAGAGGCAGAGAAAGAGAGGCAGAGAGAGAGAGAGAGACAGAGAGAGAGAGAGACAGAGGCAGAGAGAGAGAGAGAGGCAGAGACAGAGAGACAGAGACAGAGACAGAGACAGAGGCAGAGAGAGAGAGAGACAGAGAGAGAGAGAGAGAGAGGCTAGTTAGGTCATGAAACGTCTGCAAGAAAATAAGCCAGCTCAGAGAGCACCAAGGCCCCCCTCAATAGAAAGAATTGAAGAACCTTCTTGGATGAGAAGGGAAATGTCTTCAAAAGAAAATAAACTAGAAAGTCCTGAAAAAAAAGCATCTTTGGGACAACCCTGATCTGCATGATTGAGAATCTCTGCAGACTTCTAGCTATACAATTTGGGATGAACTCCCTTGGAATGGGGTGGGAGTAAGGAATGGATTTCCAGAGGAAAAATTGCAGACCACAGGAACCAGGAGCACCACTCAGGTGACCCTGACGGGACAGACAAACCTCCAAGTGGCCTCAATGACCCTCTGAAAGGATGCAAATGACCAGCTGTCTGCAAGGAGTATCAATCCTTCCATTCCCCTCCATCCAGTCAGAGCTGAAGAAGCTTCGCGGAGGAGAAGCGAAATGTCTTCAAAGAAAAACAAAAACAAAAAGTCTAGTTGCCTCTTGGGAGAAAAAAAGCCCCTTTGGGATTTTCTGGGTGATGTAATCATCCTGACTTTTCTGCAGGACCCCAAAGCTGGGTTGACCCTTACAATGACCGCAGCGAGGGTCAGTACCACCCATTGTGACCGTCACTTCCAATACACCAGTTTTAAGGGTCCAAGCCTTCAATCCTGTTACTAATAACCATGTTTTCTATCTACAGATGGCTGCTACCACCTCAAGCCCTCAACGCTTATTACCTTCCTAACAAGAATCAGATGGGTACGGTGAAGTTTGGCCTGTTTGTTAACTGTGTATGGTGTAGAACAGGGGCATTGAATTCGAATTCATTAAACTGAGGGACACATTAGGGTTGGGTTTAGCCTCGGCGGGCACGGTAGGTGTTATGGGCATTGAGGACAGGACCAACTCGATGTCCCTCATGTGGGGGCACCTGGGGTGGCCAAGGACTAAGGCGGGACTTCCCCTCAGACCTTCCCTCGCTCTGTTCTGACCCAAACCCTTGTCCAATAAAACAAACACGAACCAAAAGGGAACAGAAACCTTTTAATGATTCTTTACGAATCCCCAGTTAAAAGGCTGCTGCAAACTAATTAACTTTGATAAGCACGAGCCTCCCCAAAACTGCGCGAGGCCGCCAAGAATCACAGATAAGAAATATTTCACAGCAGAAGAGTCTTCAAATACCAACTTAAGATACTGTAATGTCCACGAGGCTGAGTTTCAAAACGTTTTTGCTTCCTGCAAAGAATGTCCGATTCACAGCTGGATTTTCTCTTCTTGAAGGAGGGGCCCTTACCTTGCAGCCTTACTCCCGAGTCGCCTGTGCTGTTGCAGCTGCTCTTTCCTACGAGCAATCCTGCGGGCACGTGCACTTGGCACAGGCTCCTCGGGAACCTCTTCCTCACTGCTTCCAGCCCCCACAATTTCCGAAGGCAGCAGTCCACTCCCTGATGGTCCTGGCCCCTCATCTGAGTCCTCACTCTCCTCCGCCGTCCGCACCTGCAGCTGGCTAACCACAACACACTCTCATTATAATTGTTACTTAAAAAATATCCCAATAAAAGAGAAACACGGAAAACCACAAACAATCATTCTTCCTTGAAGATCCCGAGTTTTATTTCATGAGCAATTTGAAACAAGAATAGCCATCATAACATTGCTTATATCAATAACCCATTGCAATGAGGTCCAGAGACAGTAGCTCGCTCCAGAAAAGATAGCTACTCTCAGTTGCCTTGAACTCATTCCAACATATTCTTTTTATACTTTTCTGCCTGCATCTCACAACTTACCTTCCCTCTTCTTTCTGACTGACAGCTCAGCATAATAATCTATCTTCCTTCCTTCCTTCCTTCCTTCCTTCCTTCCTTCCTTCCTTCCTTCCTTCCTTCCTTCCTTCCTTCCTTCTTCCTTCCCCTCTTTCCTTATTTTTCCTTCCTTGCTCTCTTCCCATCTTCCCTTCTTTTTCTTCCCTCTTCCCCTTTCTCCTTTCCTATCCCTGGTAAGAAAGGTTGCAAAATGGGGCAAAACTCACTTAACAGCCGTCTTGCTTAGCCATGGAAATTTTGAACACAGTTTTGGACGTAAGTGGAGGGCCACCTATGGAGAGTTTTGCTGCCTGTCTTATGTTGGAAAACTCTAGAGAAAGGGCTTTAAGTCTCCGTCCGCTAACCTGTGTTTTATTTCTTCAGTGTTCCCAGCTGGAATTCTTCAGCCTACACTCTATGATCCTGAATTCCCACAGTAAGTAATATTATTTTCATCCAGGAAACATTATATATATAAAATGTACATATGGCATTCGGCTTTGCTCGGGTATTTTCCCACGTCATAGTAGCTGTGCTTTTAAAGTTGTAGCGACATTTCAGCAGAATCTCATCTGCCATCATCAGGCTTCTGTACATATATATGTACAGAATATAATATATAAACATATATAAATGTACATATATATGTATATATGTTTTCGTAGATTTTCACGGGTACAGGTATGCAGATCTTGGCATGTTCGGGTCTTTTCCCAGGTAAGATTGAGAGTATCTTGGCAACGTTTCGCCGAGGTCCCACTCGCCATCTTCAGGCTGGTGCTTTCGGCTTCGTGTTTGTGTGAGCAAACCGCCAGCCTGAAGATGGCGAGCGGGACCTGGTCGAAACGTTGCCAAGATACTCTCAATCTTACATGGGAAAAGACCCAAACACGCCAAGATCTGGATATATACGCCAAGATCTCCAGCCCTACACAGAATCCATCACCTCACATGTACAAAACTCTTTCCACTTCATAGAAACTATAAAGAAACAAAACCCACAACCCAGCGACCTACTCGTGAGCTTTGATGTCATATCCCTCTTCATCCAAGTAGCTATTAAAGAAGCCTTGACAGCCATCCAAAACAAATACAACCGCTCCTAAGCACATCCTAGATCTGACCAACCACTGCCTAACCAACACAGACTTCATCCACAATGGACAAAGATACAAACAGATAGAAGAAGCACCCATGGGATCACCCCTCTCACCCGTCATCGCTAACCTATACATGGAACACTTTGAAACCAATGCTCTAGACAAATCCGAACCCAAACCCAAACTCTGGCTTAGATATGTAGATGAGCCTTTCGTAATTTGGCCACACGGGAAAGAAAAACTGGACAACTTCCTCACACACTTCAACAACCTACACCCCAAAATACAATTCACCATGGAAACGGAAGCCAACAACCAACTTCCTGGATGTCCTAATTTACAAAAAAACACCAATGGCTCCCTACAACACACCATCCACCGGAAGAAAACACACACCAACCGCTACTTAAATGCACAATCCCATCACCACCCTGCACAGATCAACTCCGTAGCCAAGACCCTCATCTCCAGAACCAAACGCCTAGCCGACAAAGACCACCTGAGAACAGAATTACACACCCTCACAAACATATTAATTTCCAATGGATTCCAAAGAAGCACAATTACCAACCTAATCCTAAGAGAGACACCCCCCAGAAACCGAGACACAGAACAAGACAACGGTATCACCCTCCTCCCTCACATCAAAGGCACCACAGACAAAATCAGCAAAATTCTCCACAAACACAATATCAGGACAGCCTTCGGCACTGACCAAAAAATAGCCAACATCCTAAGAAACCCCAAAGACAAGATCCATCCAGAAAACCAAGGAGTTTATGAAATACCATGCAACAATTGCCCAGCCACATACATTGGACAAACCATCAGGAGAATAAATGCACGCATTGCAGAACACAAAAACGCAGTCAGAAAGAAGAAAATACTTCCTCCCTCTTCCAGCACCTTAAAGCCACAGGACCTGAAATTAATGTTGAGGGAACCAAATTAATCTCTAATACTGAACACTTCAACAAGAGAATAATCAGGGAAGCCATCGAAATAGAGAAACACCCCCATAACATGAATAAACGGGACGATGCCTCCTGCCTACCAGACGTCTGGAAACTAGCCCTCACCAACAAACGAGTCCCAGCCATGAAAACCAACACCGGACCCAAAACTACACATGACACCACCACCATTCTCCCTCACCAGACTAAACCCAAACCCATCCCATAGATGAAAGATAACCACCGTCCAGAAACCAGATCATGGCTGCATCACCAGCTGCCACACACACCGACCCCCAAACCAAGCAAATGGACAGACACCATGAACACATATCCAGGCCTCAAACTCATAGCCAAACCAAAACCCAGAATGTCACATCACAACCACCCGCTCAGGATATCACATCACAGAACTCAGGAGGTGACACCACAAAACCTCAGGATGTTGCAACACAGCCAACGACCCAGGATGCCACAACAATACCGTGTTTCTCACAAAATAAGGCCGGGCCTTTTTTTTTTTTTATCCCCCCAAAAACAGCTAGGCCGTCTTTTCAGGGGTGACTTAATTCCTACCCCCCTTGCATCCTCAGGCAGGCGGGCGACGACGGCTTGGATGTTGACCTCAGCGTTGGTGGGGCACTTCGTATCAGGAGACCTTCTGCCACCGTTGCTTTCCCTTCTCCCCGTGCTGCTGCGGCATTTAGAGCAACGCCGCGGTGTTTGGCGCAGCCACGCGTGGCCAACCAGGGCTCCTCCCTGCAACCGGAGCCTGGCGGAGACACTCGGCTTCAGGTGGGGAGGTGAATCTCCCGAGGCCACAACGCAGGATCGGCCCACCCCAGGAGAAGCGCCCAGCCGTCATCCCTGCCTGGCTAACACGCGGGCCCTCCTGCCTGGCGGTGAAGCTCTCACCAAGGCAGCGAGCGCCTCCCTGCTGGGCCCTCCGCTCATCCCGCCAGGGCCACATCAGAGCTGTGCGGGCTGGGCAGAGCCGGGAAAGCGAGCCGTGGGTGCGCGCCCGCTTCCAAGCGAAAGAGCCGGGCCAACCCGAGCTTGGCTTCCTTCCCAAGTCCCTCCATCCCAAACCCGAAGGGGCCACCAGGAGAGGCCACCCGAGGCAGTGATAGTGCCCACCCATCTGTGGACAGGGAGGCAAGGCGACGGCCTGCGCCGCGTCCTCCTCCGAGCTGAGCCCCGCTGAGTGAGCGCCTCTGCCCGATACTTGTGCCGCTGCAGTGTTTGGAGCTGCCGGCGCATTTGGAGATGCGTGGGGACGGGGACGGGCTGGGCGAGGGGTGGAAAGGACGGGCAGCTTCAGGCTCTCTCCGCCAGACCCGCCGGACAGGGAAGCAGCACTGCCATCGCTTCGCCTCCCTCAGCCATACATGTTCTTACGAAAAAGCCAGCCAATCTGCAAACATCAACTCCATCAACCAATCAAGAAATGACAACACAGCCAACCTCCCTACCAGTATATATAGGGAGACGGCAGCTCCGATCACGCTTTGTTCGCACAAGCACGAAGCCGAAAGCACCAGCCTGAAGATGGCGAGTGGGACCTTGTCGAAACATCACCAAGATGCTCTCAACCTTACATGGGAAAAGACCCAAACACACCAAGACCTGCATACCTATACCCGTGAAAATCTACGAAAACAAATACGTACATATGTATATGTTGTGGCTCTGGGCTTGGATTCAGCTCCTGTGACTGATATGAGTTCAAGTGAGGAGGTCATGGCAGAAAAATATGAACCGGCCTGGCTTAGTGATTGGACTGATAACCAGGATGAGGAGATGGATGTGACAAAGGACGACAGACCTGATGTATTAGAATTGTCAGGACCTTTGACCTCCTCTGGTTCCTTATCTGATCAACAGCCGGGAATGGGTGACAGGGAAGTTTTGAGAGAGTCTTCTAGTGGAGATGAGAACTTGGAAAATTTGTGGTTAAATGTAAAAAATAGAAGACGGTTGAAAAGGCAAAATCAGCTGGAGCGAATGAGAAGAGCAAGTCAGTAAATTAGCACGTTGCCTCAATGAGTATAAAAGGACACAGCTGGGCTGGTACATTTTTCCAGGAACAAAATGACTATTTGAGTGAGGGTGTTACAGCAAGAAGCTCTGAGACTAGAGATTTATTGCCAGGACTGGTTTGCCGGACAGAGTAAAGATTTATGCTGTGGTTTCTGCCGGCCGTTATCTTGTAAGACTTCTTTCCATTTGATTTAATTGTGAAACAGCTGCTTTCTGTTTTGTTTGTTCGAATTTCGAAGGGGAGTCATAACATGTATATATTTGTTCTCTTAAGTTTTCACAAGTATTTATATGTTTCGGTATTCAGCTTTGTTCGAGTATTTCCCCACATCATTACAAGCCGGACAAGCTTGATGATGGCAGAAGAGATTCTGCCGAAACGTTGCTACACAACTTTAAAAGCACAACTATAATGACGTGGGAAAATACCCGAACAAAGTTGAATACCATACACACACACACACACACACACATTTCTTACATACAATATTGTTATGTCTCCTCTTGGAAATTCAAACGAACAAACATAAAGCAGCCGTTTCACAATCAAATCAAACTGAAGGAAATAACAAGATAACGACTGGCAGAAACTGTTAGGACTCCCCTTCGAAATTCAAACAAACAGAGAGCTCTTTGCTGTAACGTCCTCATTCAAAATAGTCATTTTGTTCCTGGCGAAATGCACCAGCTCAGCTGTGTCCTTTTATACCCATTAAGGCAACGTGCTAATTAACTGGCTTGCCCTTCAGATTAACGTTTCCTGGTTCTGACGTTAATCCACGATCTAACAGTCATCAGAGTCAAAACTCCCAACAGGACCGATCCTTCCAATCACAACACAATATATACTGAAGATGGCATTTAATTTCATTGCACGAAATGCAATGACAATAAAGTACTAATACTACTTAGTGCTTCTGTCCTGCTGCAGTTGGAGGCCATCCCTTCCTCTTTCTGGATTCCACAAAATCCCATTATTTGCAAGGGTTTTTCTGGTCAGATGCAGATTAATAGAGTTGGAAGGGACCTTGTAGGTCATCTAGTCCAACCCAACCCCCCCCCAAGCAGTTGATTGTCCTCTTCACCCGTCCCCAACTCACAGTGCTTGTCTCACCCCTACAGGTCTTTGAATTATGGGGGAATTGGTACAATTATCGGGCACGAGCTGACCCACGGCTACGATGACTGGGGTGAGCCTTCCTCTTTCTTTCTCAGCTCCATGAAAGGGAAGTTGCCTTGTGCCAAATTGTCCCAAGAGTCCCTCCCATGGAGGCCCCGACCCAGAGCAAGGTGTCCTGCTGCTCCCACTGCCCAACCTGCCACCTCAAGGAAGAAAGAAGATGCGAGAAGGGAGGGAGGGAGGGAGGGAAAGAGAGGGAGAGAGAGAGAGAGAGAAGAAAGAAGGAAGGAAGGAAGGAAGGAAGGAAGGAAGGAAGGAAGGAAGGAAGGAAGGAAGGAAGGAAGGAAGGAAGGAAGGAAGGAAGGAAGGAAAAGGGAGAGAGGGAGAGAGAAGAAAGAAAGAAAGAAGGAAGGAAGGAAGGAAGGAAGGAAGGAAGGAAGGAAGGAAGGAAGGAAGGGGAAGGGAAGGAGGGAGAAGAAAGAAAGAAGGAAGGAAGGGAAAGGGAGGGAGGGAGGGAGAAGAAAAAGAAGGAAGGAAGGAAGGGAAAGGGAGGGAGAAGAAGGAAGGAAGGAAGGAAGAAAGAGGAAGGAAGGAAGGAAGGAAGGAAGGAAGGAAGGAAGGAAGGAAGG